CTTTACCGTTGTTTAAAACAAAACATTTACATCCAAAAGGATGAAAATAGCTAATGTTAGGATTTTTATTTTTGAAAATTTCATATGGAGTTTTCTTTAAAATTGGCCTAATCATTACTCGATTAACAACATAACAAGCAGTATTTGTGGCTTCCGCCTAAAAATATTTTGGCAAATTATTTTCACAAAGCATGGTTCTAGCCATTTCTTCTAAAGTTCGATTTTTCCTCTCAACAACTCCATTTTGTTGAGGGGTTCTAGGTGCTGAAAAATTATGACTAATACCATTAGAATTACAAAATTCAATAAATCCAAGATTTTCAAATTCAGTGCCATGATCACTCCTAACACTAGTTATAGAGTAACCCTTTTCATTTTGGATTATTTTTGAAAATGTGATGAACTGTTCTAATGCTTCATCTTTAGTACTTAAAAATAGAACCCAAGTATATCTAGAATAGTCATCTACCAAGACAAATGCATATTGTTTTCCACCCAAGCTAGTAGTCCTAGTTGGCCCAAAAAGATCTACATGGATCAATTGTAATACTCTACTAGTTGATACGTCATTAATGGATTTAAAAGAAACAAGCTTTTGTTTTCCTTTATCACAAGCATCACAGATTTTATCATTATCAAATTTAAGCTTAGGCAACCCTCGAACTAAATCACCTTGAATAAGCCGTTGCAAAACACTCATACTAGCATGTCCTAGTCTCCTATGCCATAACCAACTATCATGTTCATCTTTAGCAACTAGTCATATCAAAAGAATCTAAATGCACCATGTAAATGTTCCCTATTCTATGACCAATAAGCATAATCCGATTAGATGCAATGTCAATAACTTTACAACCATTAATTTCAAATAAGACATTGAATCCTTTATCGCATAATTGACTAATACTCAATAGATTATGATTTAATCCATTCATATATAAAACATTCTTAATTTGTATGGAAGAGGTATTACCTATTGTATCAATACCTTCAATGTGACCTTTTGAATTGTCTCCAAAAGTCACTTCTCCTCCATTTTTGGCGTTAAGCTCAATGAACCGGCTTTTGTCTCCGGTCATGTGTCTTGAGCATCCACTATCAAGGTACCATGAATTTGAATTTGTTTTCCGTGCCTTGTAGCAATGCTCCTTTCCCTACAAACATAGATTAATTTTTGATTTTTGGTACCCAAATTCTTTTGGGTCCATATTCATTAGTTTCCAAAATCCTAGTCCCCTTAGGTATCCATTTGTGTAGGATATTTTTATCTTTAGTAGTAATGAGTTCTTTAGGAACCCACATACTTCTAACGATTTTTCCATTAGAGGTTCTTTGGGGACCTCTATGATTGTAGTTTCTAAAACTTTTTCTAACAAAGTTGGATTTTGAATTTCCACCTTTTTCAAAATGTTTTGTTCCAACTTTATCAAAAGAAGTTTTAAGATCATCAATTTTCTTTTGATGATCATCATTGATCTTTGAAAGTAAATTTTGCAAATCTAAATTTTTCTTTTCAAACTCTTCTAGTTTGATTTGCAAATCTTTGATTTTACTTTCAAGATCGTTGTTGGTTTTGGATATGAGTTTGTTTTCATTTTTCAATTTTGAAACATCGTTTTTATATTTTAAAAATAATTTCTCATAATCCGAAGCCAACCCATTATATTCCTCTAATAACTCATCATAGGATAAATCATCAAAATCGGATGAGTTAGAGGTTACCTTAGAATCTTCCCCAAATGCCATCAAACACAAGTTAGCTACTTCTTGTTCCTCTTCATCGGAACTTTCTTCATCGCTCCATGTAGCCACATGAGCCTTGTGCTTATTCTTTGATTAAGCATTTTTCTTCAATTGTGGGCAATCATATTTAACATGCTCTGGCTTTTTGCATTCGTATCAAATGATTGAGTCATTCTCTTTCGGTTCATTTTTGAGGCCTTCATTTCGTTTGAATTTTCTTCCTCGATAAGGTCTCATCATTTTTCTGAACCGTTTGGCAAACAATGCCATTTCCTCGTCATCGTCATCGTTATTCGAATCACTCTCATCTTTTGTGGATTTGAGAGCAACTCCAATGTTTTTCTTCTTCTCCTTCTCCTTTGGTGTCTCGTCAATTTTGTCGAGGTCCACCTCATCTTCAAGCATCATTTCATGAGTAAGGAGTGACCCAATTAGCTCTTCAAGAGTTAAGGACGTTAAGTCCTTATACTCGATGATTGTCGTCTTCTTTGATTGCCACGATTTTGGGATGGAGTAGACTAACTTCCTCACAAGCTTTTCATTTTAAATGATCTCTCCATATGATTTGAGACCATTGACAATCGTTGAAAATCTATCCGTCATAGCTTTGATATCTTCATTTGGTTTCATCCTGAAATTTTCATAGCTATGCGTTAGAATACTAATTTTAGATTTCTTTACCTCATCGGTACCTTCATGAGTGACTTGAAGTTTGTCCCATATTTCTTTGGCGGTTGTACACGATGAAACTCTTCCGTATTCATCTGGTCCAAGAGCACAAAAAATGATATGGATGGCTTTGGAGTTGAGCTGGAACATTCTTGTCACTCCTTCACTCCACAACCTTGGATGAGTGAGAGGTTTGATGTATCCTTCTTCTACAGCATTCCATGCTCCCATGTCACTTGCTTGAATGAAGTACATCATTATATTCTTCCAATAAGCATAGTTAACTCCATTGAAGAAAGGAGGCTTGTTGACGGGCATCGAATCGAGACCGGAGTCGAAGTTTGAAGCGGAGGCCATTGATGACTTTGATAATCGATATAACTCTTCCCGAATCGACTCAAGAGGCGATTAAACATTCAAATGAGTTAGGCTCTGATGCCAATTGTTGAGTTAATTGATTGCCGGATTTGGCCAAGAGGGGGATGAATTGGCAATTAAAAATTTGGTGGAAGCTTTTGCAGAAAATTGAAAGTAATTGCACAGTGATTTAGAGTGGTTCGACTTTCTCAATCAAAGTCTACGTCCACTACCTTAGCTATCCACACTAAGGATTTTCCAACAAATTCACTAATTTGTTCTTTCTTTTGAGGCCAAAAAGATAACCTTACAACACCCTCAAGAATATACCCCAATTCTTGAGAACACTCTTTCCCAAAGAGAATATTACAAATTTGCAAACTTACAAGGAAAACCTCACAAGGTAAGATGTTTGCACAATTCTAGAACAAGAACAGAACACTCAAAGATAATTACAAATGAGCACAAATGGTTTTCTTGAAAGCAAAATGAATATTGAAAGGAAAATTGGCTTGATTTGCACACACTTGGTGTTTGATGCTTTCTCTCTTGTTTCTCTATAATTTCTTATTGATCAAGGGCTTCAGAACTTGTTTAAATACACCTTGAATCACTTCTGAACGTTGGGGATAATTAATGAAGATAATATATCCGTTTAAGTGTGAAAACATTTAATAAAAATTCTTGGAGCGTGGGGGGAATCGGTTCCCCCTCATAGGGAATCGGTTCCCTAAGTGTAAAATTCAAATATTTCGACCGTTGAACAGGGGGGAATCGGTACCCCCTATGGGGGAATCGATTCCCTCCGAGCATTCTGGAAATCTCGGAGCCAAACCATTCAGGGGGGAATCGGTACCCCGTTGGGGGGGATCGGTTCCCTCTGAGCAATCTGGAATTTTTGACTTTGAAATGGTTCGAAATACTTTGAAAGATTATTTTGAAATTGTTTTAAGATTAAAACTTAATTTTACACTTAAGTAAGGATTAAAAATGATTTTTGAAATATTTGGAGTAATGTTTTGATATTCGAATAATTATATCGAATATACTTAGAAAATCATTTTGGAAAATCTTAAAATTCATTTAACTTAATTTGTTATATCGAAATATCAAAATGTTTTCAACAACATGGAAATTGAGGACTACCCAAACAATATAATCGAAGGAATAAACTACTCATGGGACGATTGAAACTCACCATCATTATCACCGCAATCTTTAAACTTGGACGAAATCGAGACCATGAATTTGGACAACATGCTAGAAGGGTGAACATGACAAAAAGTCAGAAAAGTTGTCAGAGCCTTAAAAAGAAGGAAGACAGTACAAGACGTAGAAGTCACCACAAAGAAAAAAGTACAAGATATGAAAGACACTACAAGACGACAGAAATTAAAAGCAACAACACATGAAAAATTATCATGGCGGACTTCAAAATAATTTGAAAGTAGCTATTAAATGAAGCCTATAAAAGGAGAAGCTTGCAAGCGAGCAAGCAAAACATCACCTTTAGCATCAACTTATCCCGCTACAACTCTAATCACCTTTAGCATCAACTCTCCTCTCCAAGCTTAGTCTCTTAAGTTTTCTTGTAATATTTCATTTTCTTTTTTTTTTGTACAACCATCATCTATCTTTTTAAAATACTTGTAATAAAATGGTTTCCACACTCTTATCTCCTTCAATTGGTATCAGAGCTAAACAATATAAATTAATTTTTTTCTATAATAGAAGAAACTAATAGTGATAATATACCCTTATTAGATTGAATTCCACTTATAAGTGTTTTTATGTGGTTTTCAAACATTTTATTAATACCATCAATATTAGAATATCATGTCTTTTTTATATAATGTTCTTATTGTATTCATTATGACACCTAAATATATATACCTAACTTGAAGATATTTTTGTCTTGTTTTTTATTTTATTTTATTTTTAGTAAATAGTAGAATTTTGGTTAATCATCCTTTGATGTATTTAATTACAGTATTTTCATTAATTTTTTCAATGTACCTTTGACTCCAATTTTAAAATTTTATATATATTTTCTTTAATAATATTATTTTTATTTATTTTTTCTATATTTCATTAAAGTGATATTTTTCTTCTCCAATTATACTTCCTAATTTTATTGTTTCTTGTTCCTTATTAGGTGTTTCTTGTTCAATACTCCTTCGGATAGTCTACACCATTTCATCATAGATCTTTTTATTCTCTAATGATACTTCACAGCATTTACAATATAATTTATAAATCCAAGAGGAGTTTAAACTTCAAAGAAAGGGGGAGTACTGTTTTGATTTACATATATGTTTGAAAATCATGGTTAAAATGTGAACAAGAAAGATTCCATCTCTTTCATGCATCATGATGATATATATATTCACCATCATTTCCTTGATATTCTTTGTCAAGATTTTTATCATTCTGTTGATAATATGATTAGATAATTCTACTCAGATGAACATATCCATGGTCCCGCCATACCTTCACTTTTTGTAGCTACACTATCTGACCCTTTATCGCCATAAAAATCCCCATTTGTAAGTACTTTTTGCGTGTTACTGTTGTAGCTGCCATTGATGGACCTCAAAAGACTTCGATCATATTGTCGAATCCCAGTTGATTCTCCCCAGCTCGAAGGAATAGCACTATTTTCGTTCCTTGGCAATGGTCCAATATCTGATGAAGGAACCATGTTTTGAACCCCGCCGAGGTTGGTATTTCCATGCCCCTGACTCAAACCCAACTCTTCAAAAACACCCATTTTGAGAGCAGACTCGTTCGAAGGAAAACCGAAGGACTCTATAGAATCGGAAATCGGGTATTTTGGAGGGGCTTGAAAGAGATTAAGCATCAGGTTTTGCATGTTGATGCTGTTGTTGTTGTTGAGTGGATTTTGAGGCAGCTGCTTTGAAAGGCCTAACTCGGATGGTAGTTGGTAGTTAATGGAAGTTGTACTAAAAGTAGGAATAGTGCTAGGTGTAGAAGCTATAGCATCGACCATGGAAGAGGAAGGTGTAGAAGAAGACATAAATGGGGGAGGATACTGCAGTTTTTGGGCAAATGGTCTTAAAAGATAATGGGGAGAACAAGGGTCTAACTGAGTTGTACCAAATAGATCAAGCCTGGTTCTTGGGAAAGGCGAGGAGGTAAAGGGCGGTGCAGGGATCCCGGTGAACTCCTGAACCATGGCTCGAAAATTGCTCGTGTCTGTCGTCAAAACAGTCGTCGGTGCACGCCAAGAAGCTCTGGATCTCTTCTTTGAGTTACGCACCATATTGGTGTTGGCGGGTTGGTCAGTTGTGCCTGAAACTGAAGCTTTTGTACCGCTTTCTGGTCCTTGAGGGATCTGCACAGAAGAAAACGTGGCTCCGCTTTGTGCTTGTTGTGAGGCCATAAACCCACCACCAAGATCATTGCAATTGGGCTCAGATCTTATATTTTTGGACCAAACCGAGTCGAGGTTGAGCTGTGAATTTGGGTTCGTCGCACTTGATAAAGGATGATCGAAGTAGCTCGATAAAGGGTCAATCAACATAGACGATGGAGAGTGCCTTTGGGGTTGCATCAGCGGCGGCGGTTGGATACCGGAAGGACCATGACAAATATGGGTGGATGGGTTACTGTTAAAAAAAGCTGAGATTGAGTCAGCTCGTGAATCAAACTCTTCACTGCCGCAACTCGAAGATTGCACACTACCACTGTTACCAGAATCCATTAGAAGAGATACACAGACCAGAGATAGCAAAAACAAGGAAAGACGTAAAAGGAAGACAAAAGATATCAGATATGGAGTCCCCCCCCTTTTTTTACGGTGAAGAGATTGAAGAAAAAAGATACAGCAAAAACAAAGCATGAAAAGGCAATATAAACGAAGAAAAAGGAGAAGAAAGAGGAAGATCTTCTGGAAGAGGAGTTATCGGAAAGTACCCATGTTGTCTTTAAAGCTCTGATCTGCAAAGAAACACAAGACAGTGTTTTGTTTTTGCTTTTTTACTCTGCCTTTCCAACAAAAGGGCATCTAATAAATTAAACAAAGGAACTTAAAACTAAATGGTTCGCAGAATCTATTGGTTTGCAGAATCTATGGATAAAACGAAACTAGAGTTTCTTTGAAGGCGGGAAAGGCCTTTCTTAGTTAATCTCCCCCCTCCCCTTACTCTTTGCTTTTTAGAGAAGAAAACTTTTGGTTTGTAGAAAAAATATATTTTACTATTATAAAAATTTAATATAATATATAAATTATAATTCGATACAGTATTAGTAATAAAATAATACAATTAATTACAGCATAAAAAAATTATTCCAGGAAGAAGAAGAAAGATCCATTAAACTCTGGAAATAGATAGATCAGTTGAACAACAAAATTTAAAGTTGGGTCTGCAACTATCAAAAACAAAAGATAGTTATATTTATTGAATAGCTGAACAATAATATTAACTTTTAACCTATATTTAATTTATATTATTATTATATCTTACAAAATATAAAATATATATTTTAAGTTATTATCTAATAATATTTTTTTCACAATCCGAGTATTTTGAACCCAAAATCTTAATTTATACTATGTGTATATCAAATAATTTTCTTATATTTTAATTATAAAAGTCATTGTGGATGTGTGTAGACTGTTTGACCCTACAAAACCAAACCCTAACCCTAAAATTAAAAAACGTCACGTATTCCATGTTTGCACGTAAAGTCCTTGCAGACAAGGGATTGAATTTTTAACATGGGATTCTAAAAAGGTAAATGAAAAATGTCCTATATAGGAAAAATATCATTTAATTATAAATAATATAGCGACAAAGGGTGAAATAGGGAGATAAAAATAGAGGGACGTGGCATTTAAGGCTCTCAAAATCAGTTACCTAATTATTATGTCTGATATAAGTTGCTTGAGTCTGTAAAATTACCCGTCGTTTTTTAGGAGATTTCAAATGCAAGGGTGGGGATGTATGGGACGTGGCATCGTTTTCAATCAACCTGTGGCTCACATAACTATGCATCACTGTCGCTTGTGCTTGATCTTGATGTGGATATTTCTTCCTCTTCCCTTTCTCACTTCTCCATCTTTCTTGTCTAATAATTTACTTTTTTTCATTATACATATGTTTTTTTCATCCATCCACGAATATATATTAGTACTATATAAGATGGTCTTCTTGTTTATGATTTGTGAAGTTCTGTTTTGGCAGAAAACAAGCAGATAAAACCTAACGTACGTGTTGCAACAATCTTTTTATTGTTATTGATGGTCCAACCATATAAAGCAGCTGTACCAAATTCGGCTTCATGTTTTTTGAGATGCGGAGATATTTGCTATGGGATTGGGTTGTCGTCCAACTTGACCTAACCCTCTCTTCCGGTTTCACCTTTAATTATAGGAAAATGGCTAACTCGTGCGAGTATATATAGGGTAATAATTGAATTTTACTATTGTTTTTATTTCACTTATTACATTTTAAATTTTTTTAATTTTTTCACTTAACATAATAAATTGAGTTTTTTTGTCACTCAATTGTTTTCTCACAAATTAAGAACATTATAAATGAGTTTTTTATATAGATGCAAAATGACATCATTTTAGTGAAATTTTTGTTTTTTAAAAAATAGTGCGTCGTTTTAACCCATTAACTATTTAACGATAGAATAACAAAAAAAAACCTAATGTATTAAGTCTAGTGAGGAAATTAATAACTTTTAAAGTTCCACGAGCAAAATAGGAGAAATAGTAAATTTTAGTTATGAAATTTATAATTTACCCAATAATGAAATTTATAATTTACTCATATATATATATATATATATATATATATATATATATATATATAGGGTGGACACATATTTTTTTATATTATTTGTCCATTTTAATGATAATGTCATTTTGAAAATTTATTTATATTTGTTCTATATGAAAAAATTTTAATTATTAGAACATATGTACTAACCATAAAAAGTATTTTTAGATTTGTCCCTGTGTATTTTGGGCGGAAAGTTTGAACTTGTGGTTAATATAAAGAATTACTTCTGGTGCGAGATTGTTAACTATTCTTGGCTTAGAGTTTAATGGGTAACTTCGACTTGTTAGTATTATGTAACAAAAGGAGAGGCTCTTTGGTTTCTTTTGAGAAAGTAATGGTATTTTATTAGGAAGGCTGTATGCTTTTATAGATTAAAGATTGATGCTTTAGAGAAAGCAATTGAAAAATCGCAAACCTTTGATTGGGTAGTGGTTAAAAATAAAGAAGTTCCCCATATTAATTAACGTGCACACTTGAAATAATTCTGTAACACATTCTACTCACATAAACACGAGGAAAGTGTTATTTAGAGTCTTACTATGAGCAAATATATTTTCCCCCTTCATCCACGTGTAAATATGCGTTTAAAGCACTTCAAAAAAATGGGTTTAAAATTTAAACAATGAAAAACGGGTTTATTTATTTTTTAAGTAAAGAAATGCCTTGTTAAAAATTTAAAAAAGGTTGTACCAAAAAAAATTAAAAATAGGTGTCGTAAGCTATAAATATTTTGTAAATCTAGTTTTTTGGCACGTGAAAATATGGTTATTTGTTACAATTTATGTGATAAAACATGATAGTGAGAAATATAAATAAAATTCTCATTCTGTAATACATATATATATTCTCCAAATCAGATTTGGTTGAACTGCTGGTATATAAGAATATCAGTCGTTTTTTTTTTCTCTCTCTCTTTTTATTGGTGGGTTCCTCTCTGCTCTTATTCTTGATCACCACCCATCTATATGGGGCAAAACTTTCGAGATAATGTTCTCGAATAAATTAATTCACGATATAATGCACTCCCCAGATTAATAGCTCAAATAGGGTGAAATCCACAGTGTTGGTCGTAGGTCGCCATGCCATCCGGGTGACCTACTAGGTTGTCATTTCTTCCCGGCGAGTTACGAGAGATTTTGCATGTGCCATGCACGTCCCAACACGCTGGGCATCCGAGGTCATCCGAGCGAGCTATGCGAGAGCATCCGAGCGCATCCGAGGGCATTCAAGCAAGGGTAGGTCGCCATGCACGTCAGGTGACATGATAGGTCGCCATGCACGCTGGGCGACCTTGTCCTGCGCCCTGCTCCCCGCTGCATGCGAGCATGCAGTGCTCTCCTGCTCCCCACTGCATGCTCGCCTGCTCCCGCTGCTCCATGCACCTTTATCGCTGCATTATTGCAGCATAATTTTCGATGCTTCATGCAGCAACATCATTTGTTGCTTCATGCAGCAATTATTATTGCAATCCACGATAATCAACGGCTCGTGATTCTTCAATTATTGGTGCATGGCAGCCAACCCTTTAATATATATGGGGTATGATATGGGGTTAAGGAAGCATAAGAAAGAAAGGGAGAAGAGTGTCGAGAGAAATGAAAGGAATAAGAGGAAGAAGAAGAAAGGGAGTTCGACAAGCAAACATCGAGGTAAATTTTCATTTCATTTAATTTAAATTAGTTTATTATTTTAAATTATTAGTTTGTTAGTTTAAGGTTAGGGTTAGTTCAGGGTTAGGGTTAAAAATTTACTTAATTAGTTAGTTTGTTAGTAGTTAGTTATATAGAAAAAAATATGTAATTAGTTTGTGTTAGTTAAATAGTTAAGTTGTCATATGATTTGTTGAATTTATATTATATAAAAAATTTAGTTAATTAGTTTTTTAGTAGTAAATTATAATTAAAAAATCGTTTATTAGTTTAAGTTATATTAAAGAATAGTTTATTAGTTGAAGTTATATTAAAGAATAGTTTATTAGTTGTTTAAGGGAAAATTCATGTTTAAGTTATATTTTAAAAAGTTTAGTTTGTTACTTTATAAGTTTATTATATTATAAGTTATTATATTAATTTTTTTTGTTATTAATTTTTTTTGTTGTGTTGTAAATTAGTTAGTTACTTAACATTAGATTATATTAAATGATTTTTTAAATACTGGTGTTTAATTTTTTTACAGATTCATTCCAATGGCTGACCAAATTCCACTGTTGAGACTTGACAATGAACATATTTCAAGTCATTTGGGAATAATGGTGAATAAAATATTTGTTTAATGAATTATAATTAATAAATATTTGAATATTATTTTATGATGATTGTGATAAATTTTTTGCATTATTTAATTGTAGGAGGACGAGCAGCGAGTCCTTTGTCTTCGTCTACATAAAGTGCCCAAGCCACACCCATTGATAGAAGAAAACTTGCAAGAGGCTGGATTTTGGTATGTAACATTTGTACGAGATTACAAGTTGGTCCCAGGTTTGATCAGTGCGTTGATTGAACGTTGGAGACCAGAAACGCACACGTTTCACTTGTCGTGTGGCGAATGTACGATAACTCTGGAGGATGTGGCAATGCAACTCGGGGTCCAAACTAATGGGATGCCGGTGGTAATGTCACATGAGTTTAATAATGTGGCACAACTTTGCAACTTGTTTCTTGGGAAAGCGCCCGTACCACCAGAGTGTAGAGGGTGGCGTGTGAGGTTGTCATGGTTGAAGAATGAATTTCAGCTTCAACCAAATAGTACGGAGCACAAAATTATATATGCAACACGAGTTTATATATTACAGTTGATTGGGGAATTTTTGATGCCTGATAAATCTGGTAGTTATTTTCACACTCAGTATCTTATTTTTTTAACAAATTTTGAGAATAGTAGGCAATATAGATGGGGTTCGACGATATTGGCATTCTTGTATCGTGAGATGTGCAAGGCGTCATTAGTCGTGAATGATAATAATACAGCAGAAATCGGTGGATGTCTGTTGCTGCTACAATCATGGGCTTGGCATAGACTTCCATTTTTGACACTAATTAGTCGGACTGCGGTTGACTTTCCACTTGCTGGAAGGTAATATGAATCCTCTATTTTAATATAAAATATTAATTAGAAAATATTTATTTTGATTAAAATTATTGAACAAAATGTTCATATTTTTGTTTTAATTGATATATAGATGGAGGCATAAAATTGAAGGCACGAGGTTGGTGCACAACAACATTAAAGAGTTCAGGCTGAAGATCGTCATTAA